AATATAAGCGTTCTTAATAAAATAAAACAGGTTGAATATTGTAAGCATAATAAATATTTTCTTGTGACAAACAGGGCTGAATGAAATAATATTAGTAAATTAAATCTTTACTTTGTAGTGGTGGGGTGCTTCTTAAAGGCTCTGTATTCAAGACACTGATCGTAGGATCCTGACATTTAACTACACCAGGATGCCTTTAACAACTGATGATTTATTCATGGAAGTACTGTTGTTTATTTAGTTTTAAAGTTCCCACCAGAACATCCTATGAAAATTAGTGTCTCCTGCCAAATAATGCCTTCAGCATTGTAAAGCAGTCACTGTGATCGAAACCCATGGTTTGCCCTTCAGAAAACTTGTGTTTATTTGAGCAAAGTTCAACTGATCAGCAAAAGATAAAAAACAAATTAGTCATATAATGAAAGAATTATAGGTATAAATAATAGTAATTAGAAAACTTTTCTCCAAATAGAATTATTTTGAGGCTATGTCCTCTCAACTACATTTTTTGAAAAAACAAGAGCAGTATGTTTTTAAAGACAACATATGGAATAGAAATATTAGAAATACAAATGGCCAATTTCTCTGTAATTCACTTAATTATTGACCGTTGAAGCTGATCTTTTGAGTTTCCTTTGTCTAGGGTTCATATCTCTTGAGTTTTTCCTCTGTCAAATTACATGGTCATTAATACTCGTATAATCATCCAGGCTAGAGTTTCTCCTTATTTTAGTTTTTCCTAACCTTTAAGCTGAATACCTGCCTGAAACTACAAAGATTTCATTAAGAAAAGAGAAACACTCAGTATTATGAAAGTGCTGAATTTTAAACATAAGATTTTGACAGACCATCAAGATCTAAAGTAAGAGAATATTATTTCCCATTACCCATAGACATGCACAAATTTCTATCTTATTTTTACCTTTCATTATCTCCTTTCCTAAAATTTTGCCAAATACACTTCTTTTGACAGGCATCAGTGTGAGACTGAGAAGGGAAATGGCAAATCTTAATCAGATAGCATGGAAAATGAGTTCTTGTACTATTTTATCAAGTAATTGTGGTCAGTTTTCCCCCTAGATTTCAGTAAAAACATTGGGGATAAAATAGGAGATAACATTAACAAGAGCAGTCTCAGGCAAACTACATGTTGCATGTGTCGACCGTAAACAAGAGTCAATCCAATATACCATCACCAAAACGGATTTATTCAGGAAAAAGAAAGGATTGCAGTCCAATACATGCAGCTGTGGTGAGCCACGCACACATATTGCAAGAAGCGGGAAGGCCCCTTTTAACAGGGTAAGAGGAAGTTAATAGGAGGGGCTGTTAGAACCGTAGAGCTCTATTGTAAACAGGTTTCTTCCTGTAGAGCTTTCCTACCCACAAAGGGTATGAGAACTCCTTCTACAGGCCCTCCCAACTCCTGTCCAGGTTACAGTCTCTGTCATAAATTTTGACACATCATAAATGTGAGAGGTCTTGGGAAATGGGGATCACCCCACAAAGATTACTTGGGTGGTTATCTTTTCTCCTGGGGAGAAGTGAAAGGTGAGGGGAATAAATACATCTTCAGGTTTGTATCGTATTGTATTTATTTCAGGGATACAGTTTTCATAGTCATAGAGGGAAGCTGTATTGTAATTTTATAGTTCTGGTCAGCCACTTTTCTCAGCCTCTGGAGAATACAGTTTTAAGGTGGGAGTTTGTCTCTAACCTGAACTTTCAGCCATCAGAGAGACCATTATTTTTTATTGACTCGTGAATCATTAGTTTTACAGCATTTAAAGCTGAAATCTTATTTGTGAAACATCATATTTTTACACCCTAGCTACAGATATGTTATGCTTAAATCATGTTTTGTTTGTTTCTTACCTTTGTTCTTCCTGGCGAAGGATTCCCTTTACCATTTAGCCATAATGAACGTTACTGTGTCTTATTATCCTTCCCCGGACAGTTTTGCCCTTTTGATATTTTCTTTCTTGGATGGATAGGAGCCCATTTCGTATGGGCCATAACACTAGTCTTTCAGAGGTTGTTTTTTGTTAGTTTCTGGTGAGTTGAAGTTAGAAGAATCTCTGTGTCAATCTGTTTACTCCCATGATCCCGCAAAGGGAAGACATTTACTGTAATAACAAATAGGGCCGTAGATAATCTTTGCAATTCACTCTCTGCCTCCTTGGCCTTGCAGGGTCTGTGTGTAACCAACTGAGGGCCTATTCCTATGGGAGTGTCACAGTTGGGAAGTGGTTTGAGGAGCATCATAAGGCTCATGCACCAAGACACGTTGTGTCTCTCTCTCTCTCTCTCTCTCTCTCTCTCTCTCTCTCTCTCTCTCTCTCTCTCTCTCTCTCTCACACACACACACACACACACACAGGTTTGCTTGGTGCTTTACCATAATGCCTCTTTGAAGGGGTGTTTGCATTTTGGGGGTACCTGGGAGGCATTGTTGTCTAGCTCTGGCATTCCTCCATCTATAACCATCTTGTGTTCAAGCATATGGGTTCCAGAACAACAGAATTTCTTTCAAAATTTCTTTTGTTTGTGGTCCTTTATAGGAAACATTTTTTCTTTTAAATTCTGGTCATGTTTCTTACTATCAATATAAAGTGATTTGAACTAAGGAGGTGACATTGGAGACAAGTCTTATGGTTCTTATAGTTGGTGTTATAATCTATAAATTTCTTGATGACAACTGTAATAACTTATATGTCATTGTATCATAAGCCTGGAACATAGTAAGCATTCTGGTTTTTGTTGAAAAAAAAATTTAGTAAATATGGGGAGAACAATGAATAAAGAAATAGCAATGTAGATTTAAAGATAGTCTGTGAAGCATTATAAAAATGTCTTAAATCACATTCAAAGATCAGTGGATTTTCTAACTATTACATAACTAGATACGGACTTTGGAGGAAATCACATAGAAAATACTTGCATGTGGTCAGGCAGGCAGCTAAGTAATATGGTTATTCTTAACTAGCCTATAGTCTTTTGGGCTACAATCAAGTTTTGCTTTATATGCTCATGCTTATATTTTAATAAATCATTAGCTATTTAAAAATTTTAATAGGAATAGCAACATAATGAAGACAATGTTATAGAAATAATCTTGCCACTCAAACACAACTATGTTTAGTTTTTCCATTTATATTTTAATGTTTGTATGTACTTTATGTAGTAGTTGCAATCACAATGTATTTTTTCATTTGTTTTTTTTCAGCTAACATAATAATTTTTCATGAAATCATTTCATTTTAATTTTATACACATTATGGGATTGTGAGATCTGATATCTTAGCATCTGTGTAGAAACTTTGCCAACATAGTTTATAGGCCAAGAGCCAGTAAGACTGACTTTCTTAGGGCATTGCATTCAATATCATTTGATTGCTTTTTTTCCCAGCAGTGTTCTTTTGGGAATCTAGTTTAATTTTGTGGCTGAAGTGAAAGAAGATATTCTGCTACTGGTAGAAGTTTTGGGGGAAAATTATTTTTTGTGTGTTTCTATTTTCTGAATCTATCATGATTGAACATTAGAAAAAGATACTTTATACAGTTTAGAAGATCTTTGTGTTGTTGTTCACGGCCCTTTTGTAGAGAATGAAAAAAATGTTACTAAGTGATGTGTTTATGAAGTGGCTTTTGTTAGACTTGAGGTTCTTTTATCATTTAAAGATAATCTAAGTTGAATGTTTGAAAATAGGACACTGTTTATGAATTATATCTTTGAACCTTCTCCAACTTTTTCTTCCTGTGTGACCTTGGGTAAGACATCTTATCATAACTATGAAAAGTAGGAATAAAAATATCTGATGCTGATTATAATTATGATGATGAGTAGTTTGTGATCTACAGGGTCACTGGGAAGATGGGGGAAATTCTTAAAAATTGTGCTGGACTCTTTAGAGCAAGTATAGGATAAATTGTCAAAAGGCCCCCGTTCTTACAAGTAAGCATAAATAGAAAAGGCAAGGAAGGAGCTGGAAGCTGACTGTGTAGCAAGCGCTTCTTGGCCACACCAGACTTCCAAGCATGCTTAGTTTACTCAGGCTCAGGTCAGTGTTGCGGAATGGGGAGGCCCTGTCCAGGACTGGGTGAACTGACTCACTTGATTTCTTTCCTGTAGAGCCTGGCCCTGTGTCAAGTTGTTCTCTTTTAGATTGAGACAAATCCTCCGTCTTTTTCAATTAGCAGCCTCCAGCACATCCCCTGAATGCTGAGAATAAAAGACTTCCATTAGCCTTCATGCCCCTAATCAATTCTGAATCAAAAAATAGATTTCTGTACTAGGGTGTATATTTGGGAGGGCGGGTAATAAGATCTTTCTTTTGTTTCCCAGGTTTAGAAAAGATAGGTTATTTCTAGGAGAGATGGGGTTTGAGTGAAGAGAGAGATTGGTGTCAGAAGGGTTACACAGCATAAAATATTATTAATCTAGCCAAGCAAATTTAGACTTGTAGTGACAGAACAGCTAAGCCCCTTGGAACTTGTCCAGTTTGAGAATATCTTATTTGTTATATTCATTAAAAGGATAACTGAAAAACTAGGGGTTGGTTATAAATTTACTGCTTTAATTTTTGGTGAGTGGGAGTTAAACTGTTTTTCAGGAAATAGTGGCAGAAAAAAAAAAAATAGCCACACAGTTTTAGCTAGTCACTCCTGAATCAATGAGAATCATCATTTTGTTAATTTCATCAACATGTTCATTTCTTTCAGCTCCATGTTCATGCATGTCTTTTAACCCGGAAACAAGAAGACTGTCCATAGGTCTAGACAATGGTACAATCTCAGTAAGTACACATAAATAAGATTTCCAGTTGAAATACTTCCCTTTCTGTGGAGTATGTATATATGTATTGTGATAAGAATTGTTTATTAGCTTTTTTCAAATTAACAAATTAATTTTCTTGCTAAGTAAAATGGAAATGGCAGTGCAGCAAATTATGGTGACGAGGTGTAGGGAGAGCTGTCATCCATCTCAGCTTAAATGCTGATAAGATTTAGCTTAATTTACAATGTCACAATGCCTGGAATTAGGGGCATTATGAGGCCAGCTAGCGAGCTACTCAAATTTGTGCATTAGTGAGAACGAGCTGTGATACTAGTGACTTTGATCAGATGGTTAATCATGGTGTCATATGTTTGTCATAAGTGACAAACACAAGGGAAATGCCTTCTTTCAGACCTGCATATTTGGATCTTGTCTTTGATCCTCAATATTCTCCTCCTTCCCCTCTTTCTTCAGCTCCTCATTGTACTCTTAACTCCCTCTAGCATCTGAATAGAATTCTGTAAATTTTTATGAATTTGTAAGGAAAGCATAGAATCTAGATTGAGTCTGTAGAGTAGATCCAGATAAATATTAGACCTGATTATAGATCTTGAGGGAACTGAAGTTATTAGAGATTGAATCTCAGATTTTACTACTTAATCTTCTATTTACGATTTATTTTCAACTAGTATTGGGTTGTTGGAAAAGTCATGATGCATTTTTGCAACCAAAAACAAAAAATATGGCATGACTTTGCCGACAATCCAATATATTAACTAGTAACAAACTGATCTGGTAAATTCTCCATTTTGGTAAATTATCCTGTATGTGTTTCCTTTAGTTCTGGGTAAGAGAGACCCTGCTTTGGGACCTGTGAATGAGAAACCCTGCTCTAGCCACACTTCCCCGCAGGATGAAGGATCTGAAGAGCCAAGAGGGTGTGCCCAGCTTAAGCCCTTACCCCACCAACCCCAGGCTCTAAGTACCCAATAAAACCAGTAGCCTTAGCCTGAAGGGTGGCTAAGGGTCAGTGGTCTAAGCTGGGTAGGATGTCCACACTTGTGCACAAGGCCCCTCAAGGTGTTGATTAAACTGGGGAATGTGAAGAAATGGGTATGGGGGCCCCTCCCATGTCACCACACCATGGTATGGGACTTTAAGGAGTCTAAAAGTTCTAAATTTGTACCTATACCGCCAGATAGTTAAAGATATACTTGTTAAGATTGGAGGAAGAGACCGTATTTTATTGAATAGTTTAACTTTTGAATATTTAGACAGATGGAATGTAAGTCTCTGTTTGTGGTCTTGGCCTGACCCCTACAAGGATTCTGAAGAGGTGGGCCTGAAATTTTCTGTCAGATCTTTAGTCAGAACATTTGTTTGGTAACCTTAATATTGTTAAATATGAATCTGCCTACTGACAAATATTTATGGAATTTCTGTAATATCCAATGCATTTGGTAGCTCTGTAAACTCTGTTCCTTAGGAGGACAGACGTTCGTGATATAGACCCTTTGTCTATTTTAAGGAGAGCCATCTTTAAAAAGTAGGATGTGTGGAGGATAAATTAATTTTTTAAAAGATAAAGGTGGATATTTAGATTGCTTAATGAACAAGTGTTCATTACAAAGGAAATCTGAAAAAGTGAACTGAGATCCATATATTGCCCAATAGTTCATGGAATAGTATGTGTAACGCCCACTGTCCATGAAAAGACTTATGTGTGCATGACATATGGGTGATTCTTACATTTTTGAAATCAATGTGGATGGCTAATGGGTGCTGATAAATTTGGCTTTGAAGACAAGAAAGGTGAACAAAGTAAGTTATGGAGAGTTCTGGCTATGTATTATATGTAAGAGGAGAGACCATGTTAGCCATTATTTCTTTAGTAATTGAAACTGCCGGAGAACTGAACATGAATCAGGGACTGGACTGAGGTGTTTCTCTCAGTATGTCAGTACAGTGTCAGAATACCAAACCTTATCTAACCCTCAGCTCTTCTGAAAAAGATTAAGGCCCAGCTTGTATAAAATAATTTCCTTAAAAGTACCTCTTTTATGTTGCTGAAGAAAATGAATTGTATACCCTACCTATTATCATATGAAGAATTGTAAAGAACTCTGAGTTAGGGAAACATACATTGGGAGAACAGCATGTTTAAGGTTCAGAATTCACATTGATCACTACAATAACAGGTTCTTTACTAAAAATTCTTACATGTCTCCGCTGTTTAATAGCTCACTTTCTGGACATAAGAAATTCTCTTCAGAGACTGTGCATTCTTTGATGCCTGAACATAGCAAATAAAATTTAAAGCGAAATACTGGTTAACTTATTTTAATTTTATTTTTCTGTTTAACTTATTTTGAAACAAAGAAAGGAAGAAATCAGAAAGTAAATCCTTATTTCGTTTTAATTTACTGACTAAAAATGATTTAAGAGGCATTTAACCTTATGTAACTGAGTAGTGAATTAGAAAGTAGGGATAACAAATATAGACCTTTTCTTTCAGAAATTTGACCACAAAAGAAGGAGAGAGGTGGTGAGCACTGGAACAAGATATGGTAATAGACAGGCAGCAGGAGGGTCCAGAACAATTTGGAGAATTCGGCTTTGGAGAAGAATGGGGACACTTTTGAGATAGGTGGGAAAGAAAGAGACAGCTTTGAGATTAGGAGAGGAATGGCCTTTTATTTTTCCCATGAAGTAGCATGTTAGATCACCTATTGAGAGAAGCTAATTTTTTGTCTATAGTGTGCTTTTTCTGATCTTATAGACAGAACCCCTTCTGCCATCTTGGTCTACAAAGTCTCAATTATCTCTCAAGGCATTATTCAAATGTTGTCTTTTCCTCTTCTCTTCTCTTCTCTTCTCTTCTCTTCTCTTCTCTTCTCTTCTCTTCTCTTCTCTTCTCTTCTCTTCTCTTCTCTTCTCTTCTTTCTTGGGCAGGTGGCCCCTGAGCCCTACCAATTGAAACTAATCACACACAGTGCTCAGGTTAACTATGTTGTATTGCTTATTTAACTTGTTTTGTAAAAAGTTTTTAAGTCTCTCTCCTCCATTAAAGTATTGAGTGTTAAGGACTTGGTCAGGCTTTTATTCATTTCCTCTCCCTGTGGATCTTGGTCTGGTTCCTTGTACAAATTAGGGACTCAGTGAATAATTTGTTAAATAAGTTGTTGACTAAAGTACAAACTCTATTATTATTTACTATAACTGGTTGTAATAAGTACCTACTTAAGTTCTGAGATCGTTTATTTGTGTAATTCTATTGCTGTTCAAGATGTTTTTCACAATGGCATTATCCTGTATAGAAGCTATGCCAATAATTATCTTGAGTTTTCAGAAATGCCTTATGTTTTAATGTTGGAAGAAATCAGTCAGATTGTGCTGCTGTTCATACAGAAGTAGGACTTTAAAATTTTCTGTCATAATGCCTCTGTATTTTGGCAGTCAGCAAATATTTAAATATCAATTGTGTGCAAAAGAATTTGCTCAATTCTAACATGTGGCTTCTGGTCTCAAAGATCTTATCTTTCAGTTGGATAAAAATGAAATAAGTAAAACAAAGTTAAAAAAATAACAACAAAAGCAGCAGTACACCAGTGAGTGTGAGGTTGGCAAGGCAGTGAGGTCCGAAGAGAGGGAAAGAGTGGTTTGGTCTGGGTCAGCTCCAAGGAGATTGGATATGAGCTGGATTTAGAAGATGGGCTAGGATTTGATTAGCTAAAGATAGGAAGGTAAGGTATTTCAGGCAAAATGAATTGGCATAAAAAAAAAAAACCATGGAGGTAAGAAAGGGTAAGATGTTTAGAGGAAATTGGTGAGAAATCAACGGTTTAGGGAAAGGCTTAATGGGGTCTAAAGTATAAAATATAGTTGGGGTTTGATTGTGAAAAGCTTGACTCAGGATGAGTAGTTAGCTTTATGTAAAGGAACTGTCCCTAACAGGAAGCTCTCCCACCATCACCACTTGGGAATACTTTTTAAGGTATTCAGAGGGAGTAATTGACCAGAGAGGAAATGTCAAAACACAGAAATTAAAGGATTTACATTAAACTAATTTTTACTAACCTTATTGAATAATGGCTGTAGAATAGTCATAGAGATGTATATATAATCATCTTTATGAATATATGTTTTCTTTATCAAAACTGTTAATGAGCCAAATTTTTTATTAAATCCTTGCCAAGATAAATGCATAGTCACTGAACTTTTTTTGAACAAGGCCCCAAAATGATAAAATCTCTGCTCTCTGAAGATTAATTTCATATATGTGTTAGGGGAGGTTTGATTGGGATGAGAGGAAAAGATTGATGTATATAACGGTTAACATTCAGGATAGTAAGTATTGTGTACATATAAATAATACTGACTGTATGGATTTGTTGTTTGGTAGTTCTTGCAGTTATTATATTGTGTTATATTATAGTATATGTTACTGTTAGTTCATGTAGGTTATCCAAGAAAATGAAAAAATAAAGAGAACTAAACACTTATTGGCCATCTACTATGCACCAGGCACTCTGCTTTCTATACATCGCTTCATTCCAGGTTCACAACAATCCTATGATGTAGATGGTATTATTCACATTTCTAGGTAAGGATACTAAGGCCTGGAGAGTGCACATGCCTTCTCGGGCTTATTTAGCTAGGAAGCAGCTCTCAGCGGAGCTAGGAATTCTGTGTGCTTTCAAGCCTGGGCTTTCTCCTCATCCCACGTTGCTATCCTGGAGCCACTTACACATCTGTAAAGAATTCCTGCTAATAGCTTTCCATTGCCTGTCTGTTGCCACTTCCCCCAATAGGCGATTATGTCTGTGCTTCCAGAGTATCCCTGGTAATGTTTCCTCACTTGTTTATGGGTCTATCTCCTTCACTAGATTATGAACTGCCTGAAGCAGAGACCACATCTGCTTCAGCATTGTGTCCTAACAGAATTCCTGGACCACTGTAGATACTTCGTAAAATGTCTGTTGAACGAAGGAGAGTAGGCATTTCAGTTCATGTCATCAG